GATGAGTAATGGTTCAGATTACATAGAAGATAGCCAGAAAGGGGGTTATGGGCTTTCATGGAAGATAGATTGTAGGTTATGTGTAATGAGATCTGGACATGCAAGAATTTACTTACGTATGGAATGACATATTTGTGTATATAAAGGGTGAAATTCTGTAACAGGTATACTGATCTGCCAGAATGTGTTACCCAGGAAGATTTATAAAACTTCATACTTAGGAAAGAATACTTCCTTACTGTCTGTCTAGAGTTGTGAGGTAATTGTCACATTCACGAAACAGATTTTGGGGTTACTTTTTTTTTTTTTAAGTGTAGTTGGACACAATACCTTTATTTTATTTATTTTTATGTGGTGCTGAGGATCGAACTCAGGGCCTTGAATGTGCTAGGCGAGCACTCTACCGCTGAGCCACAACCCCAACCCAGGTTTATGGTTACTTTTAAACTGATAGGACTTTGAAGTATGAAGTGAATTTCCTTTCRAGCTAGCAACTTTTTTTTTATTACAGCTTTATACTTATTCATAGTAGTTGGTCCATTCCAACAAACTCATACATGCATGGAAATCTATTTCAGTTTATGATCCTCCTCTTTTCCTTCTCGCTCGCTCCTTCTCTCTCATTCTCTTCCTTCTTCTAGACTTCCTCTCGATCATCTATGAATTTATATTTGATTGCTATCCTATTTTGCCTTTCCTATATTTTACTCTTAACTTCCGTGAATGAGAGAAAATATTCGATCTTTGAGTTTCTGAGTTTTGCTGATTTCACTTAGCATGATGATCTTCATTTCCATCCATTTACTGACAAATACCATAACTTCATTCTTTTTTATAGCTGAGTAGAACAGTGTGTGTGTGTGTGTGTGTGTGTGTTTTTGTGTGTGTAACATAATTTCTTAATTCATCTAGTGATGGGCATCTGGGTTGATTCCATAAATTAGGTATCATGAATTATGCTCTATAAACATTGAGGTGGCTGTATCACTTTAGTATGCTGATTTTAGATATTTGGGGAAAATGCCAAGGAGTGAAATAGCTGGGTCATATGGTGGTTTCATTCCTAGTATTTTGAGAAATCCTCCATACTGTTTTCCCGAGTGGTTTTAACTAGTCTGCAATCCCACCAACCATGTATAAGAATACCTTTTCCCCCACAACCTCATCATATGCTAGCAACTTTAAAGATGAACTAGTGAGAGGAGACACCATGGCCCACGCCAGTAATCCCAGCCACTTGAGCAGTTAAGGCAGGAGGACCTCAAGTTTTCAAGGCCAGCCTAAGCAATTTATCAAAACTCTGTATCAAATTTTTTAAAAAGAGCTGGGGATGTAATTCAATGGTAGAACCACCCCTAGGTTTAATCCCCAGAACAGGGGAAAAACAAAAATAAAACATTCCTACTTCCACTGTGTGCCACCACTACCCCACTCCAAGCTGGCTCCCTACCATGTATTTCAGTCCTAAACAGATTTAGTCACTATAACTGTGACCTCTTCCTGATGTATTTTAATGTGTGCCTCTTGATGCCTTGAAGTCAGTTATGGGAGTGTTTATTTTAGTTTTGAAAGTGTTCTAATAACTTAAGAAAGGAAAAATAATAAGTAGAGAAAATGCTTTCAAATTTTTTCCATTTACCTACCAAGGTATAAATGAACCCTGAGAGCCACGATTCAATATTGTGTCTGTGTCATTAAAACCGTATATTTCTTAACTACTTCCCTTTACCCTCAAAATGATAAAGGAATTAGAAAGGGTGTTTTGTCTGTGTTCCAGTTTTGTATCATGATTACTCTTTGCTGTTTCACTATTTTGTTTAAATACTAAATTTTTGAGGTAATACTAAAGAGAAAATTTTAGATGAAGACCATCAGCTTGTTTCAAATATAAAATACCTTAATAGTAAAGAACAATATCAAGAAAGGATATAACATACTGAGTTTGGGGCAAGGGGAGAAGAGGGAAAAAATTAATGTAACTTTAAAGCATATCCATATTATAGGATGATATTAAGTTTTTTAATCAGTGATTCTCAGCTTAAAAATGAGATCAGGAACAAGATTTTTAGTATCAGAGTCAGCCGAAATTTTAAAAAGCTGAGAAACACCATTAATTTGAATAATTTGGACTGAAACCTGGTTGGAATTTTATGAGTTCCTGTAAGTAGAAAAAGAATGGAGTTTCTGAGCAAATGAATAGACTCAACAACACAAGAAAATAAATGCAGACRTCTAAAAAAGTAGGTAATTTTATCAGCATCCTTTTTAATATATACATAATGATCATCTGTCTACAAAAGCCAAGTAGGACAACTGTAGTTGGCAATGCTGTGTTAGCTGTGGACTACCAACCCAAAAGTAATACTTTTTTAAAGTATATTTTTATTAGAGCGGTATAGTTATACGTAGTAGTTGGGATCATGCAACACACTTACACATGCATCTAAAAGTAATACCTTTCATTTTTTTAAAATGGCAGTTTATTCTTTTCACTAATTTAGATATTTATGTATCTTATAAGAAACGCTTGGGACCAGAAGTATCTCAGATTTCTGAGTTTTTCAAATTTAAAATAGTTGTGTAGCCTTTACTATTTGAGCATCACAAAATCTGAAATCCAAAATTTTCCAAAATCCCAAAATTCATTGAGTGTTGTACATTCAGAAAATTTTGGACTTGGCAGCATTTTAGATTAGGAATAGTCAACCTATACTTTATTCTGAATTAGTTAAGATTTTACTAGCTCTCTTATAAGATTTTGGAAAAGAAGGAGTCTTATTTACATTTCTATTTTGAAATAGCCATAAAAAGTATTTTCTCCTTATTTAGTTTATTCCTCAGACTTAACCACTTTGAATCTCCTTTTCACCACACCACTAAGCTCAGCTCTGGACAATCAATACTGGATTTAAGGACTGCTAATACCAGATTCCAAGTTTACTTCTTTTGAAATGGTCCACTCTTATTGTACATATAAGACTTACAGATTTATTTGGGTTTGAGATTTTCCTCTCTGACTTTGTATCTAATAAGCTATTTTTCATCTCTTTCTCCAAGGTTTTCAAACAGTTGGAAATTCATGAATACTTCACATTTTCATTTGATTTTGAAGATTGTAACTTTAGAATTAAATTTTTTTTTTCATTTAAAAATAGAACACTTGCAGTGAATTTAACATATCCAAAGAAAGATATTTGATTTTGTTGGTAATTCAGTAAAATAATTAATATGGACTTCAAAAAATACAGGTAATGTTAAGATTTTTGAGTGAGCAGTAAATAGCTCCAGATTTTTTAATTGCTATCTGTTTTTCCCCTCGTATGATTCAATACAAATTTTAATGATAATGTTGTAGAACAGAAATGAAAGTTTTTCTAAAGCTTTGTTTATCTCTGGGGCTTTTTGTAGGAGTAGGCTTTAAATTTCTCATTTGTGATGCTCTTAAGCAGGAACATTGTGGGGGTAGAGTCAGGTAACCTGGGTTCAGGGTGGAATCCTAGTCATATTGATTAACTAACACAAAAGGTGACTCATACAGTTGGCATTTCTTTATGTGCATCTTTTCTTCCCAACTACACTGCAGAACTTTATAGTAATGACCCTCTTCTTAATTTGTTTTGCCCTGTATTCACTGTAACTCATAGTGCCGCACTCTCCAGCATAATAGATATATTTACTTGTTGCGTCAGTGAAATAGGAAAGCAGAAAGAAAGCTATAATGAAAAGTGGAGTGTGTCTGTAATCCCAGCTTCTCAATAGTCTGAGGCATGAGGATCACAAGTTTGAGGCTAACCTGGGCAATTTAATAAGACCCAAAATGGACTGGGATGTAGCTCAGTGATAGAACACCCCTGGGTTCAATCTCTTGCCGCCCCCTCCCTAAAAGTGGGGGGGTAAGTAGAGCAAAAATTGCCCTTAGATTATATGTATTCTGATGGGATTTAATGTTTCATTACTCTAAAAATTCAGTAACCTCTATGGAAAGTAGCTTTTGTGTCCTCTAAATCAGTTTATCAGTGATCTACTTAAATATCAGTGAATGAAATTTTGTTTACATTTCTTTGAGGAAAATAACTCCTAATTTAACTTAGTTGATTGATTGATTATTTATTTATTTATTTATTGTGTTGGTGCCAGGGATTGAGTCCAGGGGTACTTAACCACCCCAGCACTTTTTAATTTTTTTGAGACAGGGTCTCAATAAGTTGCTAAGGGTCTAAGTTGCTTAGGCTGGCTTTGAACTTGTAGTCTTCTGCCTCAGCCTCCTGAGCTGCTGGGATTACAGGTGTGTGCCACTGTCCCCAGCTTAGTTGATCTTTTAATCAACTAAGAAAATAATATGTTTTTATATTAGACCCCATTTTAACACACTTGGCCACAGTATGCTTGATTATATCTGAGAATACAATTGTATCTTTAATTTTCTTGAAAACTCTTTCTATTTCTAGCTCCTATTTTTATAGGTAGGACTTATTTTAAGTATTGAACTGCTGGCTTAAATATAGCCAATAGTTATGTTAGATGAACATCTATTTTTCTAATTTGTAACTAAAGAAAGGTATTTTCACTTCAGTGTCATATGACATTGAAGTAAAAATTAGTCTTACAGGTGGTCTTGCTTTCTTACTATAAGGCTATAATTTAGTCATCGTCATTATTTACATTAACAAATTGAAATTTTTCTCATTACATGGTCACCATAATAGGGAGAATTAAAATTAATAGTAAATGCCCTAAGTCTGAATAAATGGTAAAATCCTCATGTAAGAACTGTTATTCAACAAAAACTATGCCTAGAAATCTTTTTTAGCATTTTGATATTAGGAGATCATGGATTTAAGCATATGCCATACTTGATAAAAGATTTGTCATTTTTATTGGATTCCTTGACTTATGTGTGTTATGATTTGATTCCTCTTCATTTTAATTGTGGAATAAGTTTGCATTGTATTCTACTTGTATTAAGTATATATTTAAAACACATATTTATCCTTTATCAGTAACAGGGGGCATCACAGAAGAGCAGTTTCAGACACATCAACAGCAATTAGTTCAAATGCAAAGACAGCAACTTGCTCAGCTTCAGCAGAAACAGCAATCTCAGCATTCCTCGCAACAGACACATCCAAAAGCACAGGTAAGCCCGTCTTTTAATCACAGTTGTCCCTTTCTTTTTCTTTTGTGATTTTGTTGTTTTGTTTAGTTAGTCAGGTCACAGAAAATAACTGATTTTGCCACTCTTGATTTTGAGAATTTCTTTTTAATTTACATAATATTAAGTGAGTAGTTATAAGCTAATCTCTGAATATTTTGAGAAAAGTACTGGAGCCCAAATATGGTATTTTTAATTTAGGAAACAAATAACTTTTTATTGGAAGGGTTATTGAGAATTTATAAAAGTAATTACATGTTCTTAAAACTATCATCCCCATTCTTGATTTTATAACATTTTTGATCCTTTCTAAACTATGTGTTTAAGTGCTGTGTGGCTGTGCCTCACGAAGCTAGAGGTAATTCTCTTTGAAATGTGCAGTAAATCTAAGCAGCATAGCCCCTTGCCTCTGAATAATGTTTCTCTGTAGGAAAAAAAAAAAATGCTTCTAGGGAAAGTTGTTCATAAGACACTGTTAAATAAAGACACTAGGGATGAGAATAAAAATACTTTATGAAAACTGTAGGAACCAACCCTGCCAATACCTAGATGTATGAGCCTTGTAAGATTTACTGTGGACTTCTGGCCTCCAGAGCTATGTGGGAATAAGTGTCTGTTGTTTAAGCTTTTAAAAACAAAACCAAGCCAGGCTGTAATCCCACTTATAATCCTACCTCTAATTCCATCTACAGTGGAGGCTGCAGCAGGAGGATCACAAGTTCAAGGCCAGCCTCACAGCTTAGCAATACCTTGTCTGAATCAATCAATCAGTCAATCATAAAATGGACTGGGGGTATGGCTCAGTGGTAAAACACTCAGGGATCAGTCCCCAATGCTACCAAAAATATACACACACACGTATTTATATCTCAAGTTGAGCCTCCTGAAAAGAATAAACCTTGCATTTTTTAGGTCTTAAATTGTATTGCTCCATAATTATACAGGTACTCAATTTGGTTATGTTCTGCAAACTCTAAGGCCAGCATCTGCCCATAGTGGTTCAGCTTATTCTCAAACAGTCAGTACATTGACCTTAAAGCTCCTGAGTCAAAACACCATGGAATTCTCAGTGTCTCTGGGCTCCATCAACGCTCTTGTGAATCTAGGTAGGTCTGGATGTGACTTTACAGACTATTGCTATTGGCTTTAGTAATAGTTTTATACAGAATCAAGGAATGGTCATTTAACTTCCCTTCAACTGTGAAGTCCTGGATCTCTTAATCTAAACAATTGTGACTATTGAAGATTAGAAAGGCAACAGTCTCTAGGGTTTACTCCATTCCTTAATGTTCATGAAATCACATCTAAGAAACTGAGAATTTGACTTTGTCTGTTTTATAGGGCTCAAGCACCTCTGACTGCATGTCTAAAACACTCGACTCAGCCAGCGCCCACTTTGCTGCATCTGCAGTGGTCAGTGCACCTGTTCCAGGTCGMAGTGAGGTAGTCAAGGAACAGAACACAGGCCACAGCAACATAAATGGTGTCGTCCAACCTTCAGGTACAGCTGGGGTTTCACTTGAAGTTTTAGTTCATGAAAAACTTGAGTTTGGTTTTATTTCTTATCTCCAAAGGAAAAATGTATATAAGAAGTCAATCATTACTCTTCAGAATTTCTGTGGAAAGATATGGGGAATAGCTGGGTATTTTCTAGAATTCACATAGTGTCACTCCCTGTTTCTTCCTATATGCTGGCTCCCTAGCTGTGTACACTATCCTTCCTGGTTTCATTCTTAGACTGTTAGTTGCTTTGTATTTTAGTATATCCATTGAACTAATTACTGACCGTCACCATTGAGTCATCCACATGTAGATTAAAAAGTGAGATATAAGCAAGGCAGTCTGATAAATAAGCTTTAAATCAGATTTACCTTTCCATCCAGCATACTCATGGGAGATTTTCTTTGACACCTCCTCCTGAAATGCAGTAGTGTGAAACCATGTGTGCTTTTTACTATCCTGAGTCCTCAGAGACAACCTTCACTTCTTTCTTAGACCTTTGGCTTTTCCATTTGTTTTACATATACCCATGATCCTGTTGACCTTCTATCTTATTGTACTTGCCTTCAAAGTCACCACATATAGAGGCAACAGAATGCAAAGCCTCTTTATGCAGACCAGTAAGCGAGAGGGTGTGCTTTGGGTTATATCAGATGAGTATATTGAACTTAATGATAAGCAGCTCTCTTTGGAGGGTGTTATGTGAAAAGTTAACTTGGTATTTAATTGGATATAAATGTTTGCATTAATTTTTACTATTAAACTTCTAATTTTTAAAGTGTTTTATTAATGTCCCATTACACTAATTGAGTGGTTTTTCTTTTTATCTTTCAGGAACCTCTAAAACATTATACTCCACCAATATGGCTTTATCATCCAGCCCAGGGATTTCAGCTGTACAACTTGTAAGGACAGTTGGCCACACTACTACAAACCACTTAATCCCAGCATTGTGCACAAGCAGTCCTCAAACACTTCCCATGAACAATTCCTGCCTGACAAATGCAGTGCACCTCAATAATGTCAGTGTTGTTTCTCCAGTCAATGTGCATATCAATACACGGACTTCAGCACCATCGCCAACAGCCTTAAAACTTGCCACAGTTGCTGCCAGTATGGACAGAGTGCCAAAGGTTACTCCCAGTAGTGCCATCAGCAGCATAGCAAGGTGTGTGTGTATTCTCTCTCTGCTGGCTATTTGTGGGAGGAGAAAGACTTTTTTTTTTTTTAACTGTTCTAGCAATGGGTGTCTAAGAGACTTGCTTTTCATCATCTTAAGGATCTGCTTAGCATAAGGCTCTGTGACTTAGGTTATTTGTTTGAGGTTTCTATTAGGATGCTTAAATGTCAACCAGAATTGTAAAAGGAAAAAAAGAAAAAGGAGAAAATGTCAAATTGGCAAATAACATCACTATTTTTTAGAAGCTTCATTTACTTTTGTTGTTGTTTAGACAGTCTGGAAGATTAGAGTTGTTATTATTAATTCCATACCAGAATTTCAGTTTCAAATCACAATTTATGTGTTTTTAGCATAAAAAGAAATTTGATGTATATATTAAAATTGAGACTATTCCAGGAGTAATTAAATCTGTAATAATGTATTTAGAGTAAGTTTTTATATTTTTTTAATCACACTAATGCAGAGAAGACAGTAAATCAGAAAAAAAACTGATTTGCATGGATTAATAAGTACCTTAAGCCTATAAAATTAAACTCTAATTGGAGGTGATTTAAATAATGTTGTACTCCCATTGATGATTCTCTTTGAGCATCATGTATTCCACCTATTGTAATAAACTGGGATTGTCCTGTGTTATATATTTCATCAGTAATTATCATTAGCTTCTACTAAAAAACTGTGTTTAATTGTTATCTTTCCTTTAAAAAATTAGTTATAATCAAGAAACTAGAAATTATTGGAATTTCTGAGTTGAAAACATCTTCATTCCTTTCTGGAAGTAATAAAAGTGGAGAAGGTTCTTAGGAAGTCATGTTTAATTGTAGTCACATAAAATTGCAATCTATAAATGCTGAGTGTTAACAGATCCTAGAGATTAATGTTTATTTTACTTTTTGCCTCATAGAGAGAACCATGAACCAGAAAGATTGGGTTTAAATGGAATAGCAGAGACAACAGTAGCTATGGAAGTGACATAACCTAAAACATGTGGCTTTTCCTGTGTGGATGGTGTGCAGTCATTCATATTCCAGCTGAATGCAAAAGGCAACACTCTGTGGATCACAGAGCGTAACAATGGACCTAAATGGACTACAGTATATCGGATGTTAAGTCGATATATGATGTATATTTTGTAAAATTGGGAAAATCACTACCTTGTAAAATAGTTTATTTGTATCATCAATATTATTTCTGTTACTTGAATAGTAGATATTCATCATCATGCTTTTGCACTTGAATTTGCAACTGAATGGATTTTAAAAAATAATTCTTTAATGGGATCATGAGCATGAAATGGGATCCTGCATCACTTGTTTTAACTATTTATTTTGCCATGTTTACATTTTGTATCTTGTAAAAATAAATCCAACTTTGTGTCTAAAAAGTTAAAGATTCATAGCTAGGAAATGAAATTCTTGTAATTTTTTTCTAAAGGAACTGTAAAGTTTTCACTTGGTTCATTTTGTTTCACAATTTGACTAGATGGACTTTTTGGTAAATACTTTAGTGGCATTTCACTGTCAAATATGAAGTTCAAGGCAAAATAGTATTTTCTATTACTGTGCAGGGGAAAGGGATGGATCGATACATGCAAATTTAATGTAGTAACTCACTTTTCCATATATTTTGAATGTATWTTYYWWTTWWWAWWMCMRKTTWWWAAAAATAATTACACAGAAAAAACGGACTAGGAAAATTATGCATCTAGCACATTTAAACTGTGCAGACATGAAAATTTTTCAAGGATTACATTTTATCTGAAGACTGCATATTTTAACTGGCTTTAAAACTGTAACACACCACATAAAAGATATTTACCAGGTATGTATTGCATTATATCATTGCAATAAATATTGGAAGTCTAGATATCGAGCCATCCCAGGTGTTGGGAGGGGGGAGGGTTGTGGCAAGATTGTTTTTTCAATTTTGGAGAGTTTTCCTGTGGCTACAAGGCAAGTAACGGGTTGGAAAAAGTCTGACTGTAAGCGTTGGACACCTTCATAGTATAGTGTTTTAGTGACTTTTTTTATACGGTTCTTGTAAATTAGATACGTGTAGTGGTGTTTCAGAATGTTTGTTTATGCACTAGTTCAGACAACTTTCCCTGTTACTTGTTCTTGATAAGTGAAAACTGCAGGGAAATAAAAAATACATATCAAAACATGGACATGCTGCATATGTGTTTATTTCACAATGTGCACACAGTAAAAAAGAAAATTTAAGGGAGATGATAGCACTTAACAGCACTTTCCATTGTCACAGTGCTTTCCAAGCATTAATAAAAAGAATTATAAGAAGCTCATCTGTGAGCACTATTGGGTTTCAGATAATCCAATATAAACTACCTTTGATATGAAAAGTTCTTAAAATATTTTACAGAATGTAAGTAATTTTCAGTGTAGCAGTCATTGAAATCTCATAAATGAGCCTCATTTTATAAATAAAAGTTTAGAGTAGAATTATATTGCAGGGGAGTTTTGTCAAGTAAGTACTGGGAAATGTAAATATTTTTAATGAATACAATTAAAACCATTTCAAACTTAACATAATTTTATACTTTACATTTTTTATATCTGCAGTCCTGAAAGTTGTAAATTGATATGTCAGTTGAATTAATGGGCCAAGATTTCTGAGAGTGGTTTTTATTCAGGTCCTAACTGTGTAAAGCAATTTATGGTCAGAACCATAGGAAAAATAAATAAATTTAATTTCTTCATTGGTTGTGACCTGATAGGATCCATTATCGTTTCTGCCATACTACCTCTGGAGTTACTCATTGCTGATTATATAAAGGAAATAATTTTGATATGTATTATGACTGTGTTCATTCTGCTTATAGTTGGATGTATCTTCTTGCTATTAAGATTTTAGAACAACTTTAGTGCCAATTTCAGAGAAAGCATTTCCCCCCCCTCCCATTTTACTGAAGTAAAGCATGACGTCAATTTGCCTTATGTGATATATGTGTTAAACAAAAGAACTATTTGTACAGTTTCTGGAGGTGGTGGCAAATCCAGAACTTACTGAAGACTGATGACCAATTTATTTGTTCCTTTTGAAGTAAAATAGAAAAAATAAGCCTTCCTTATTTTGGTGGTTGTAACTGTTTCGTGGATGGCATTTCAGTTACTTGCATACACATTTTTCCAGTGCTTTTCAGAAACAGAAGAAGTAACAGTACTTGTTCTCATTTTATTAAATTGGAGGATAGTTTATTTCTGCACTGGCAATACTCTGGACAGCACCACCATCTTTCTGTTTTCTGAGGAAACTAGTATTGGTACCTGGAGCTTTTAGAATACTGGAAGAATGTTTCATTGGAGGGTGGTGGGAATCAAAGATGTTTTGTTTATTTTAAATTAACAAAGTAGTAACTCTCATGTGCTAGGATATCCTTTAATTCAGTAAAAAAGAAAAGTATTTGTAAACTGCATTTTTCTACYTTCTTAAAGAGAGTGCCCTGCTTCCTTTCTCAATAATTCAAAGTCTTTTTTATGATGTAGCTCTAAGTGTATTTGAGGAGGTGTTGCATATGTTTCTTTTGCAAAAGACCAAGGAAAAGTAAAAGTATTTGGAGGCCACTTTAAAAAATAATACATAACACATACATATATTCTGGCTATTTAAAAAACAGGAAATATAGTATTTGTAACTGTGCTTAATAGTTTTTAAAAATTATTTCTCAGGTAATTTGGGGTGGTGGTTGGAGGGATAGTAAGGAAGAATGACATTTCAGAAAATTTGATTTTTCTGACTTGTAGTACAATGCTGTGCTTTTCAACAAATTTTGTTGATCACTAGTACATTTATGATGAAGTGTTTTCTTGTCCCTTAACTGACTTGACAAACTACTCAGTTAAAAGGTAAGGATAACTCAAGTGATTCTGAATATTATATCCTATAAGACTGGATGATTTCATCACTAACAGCAACATAACAGCTAGTTCATGGAGCTGGGTGGGTTCTCTCAGTGACTTTTCTTTAGTCCTATCAATAATTGTGTGATGTGTGTACTATTATTTTCCTATTTTACAGATCAGAGAAAAAAATGTTTAAAGGAGTTTTTTGCTTTCCCTATGCCACATAGTTAGTTACTGAGTTAAGAATTAAACTTGTAGTCACTACACTTCTACCCACTGTCTCCCATCTATAACATGAAGAAAGTACCCTTCCAAGAAGTTCTTCTTGTGCTTCTTAGTCCACTTCATAGCAACATCCAAAGCAGTTTTTGATCCATGTAGACAGCCTTGGGGTGGGGGGGGGGGGGTTGTGGCTCAGTGGTAGAGTGTTCAACTAGCAGGTGTGAGGCAATGTGTATGATTCTCAGCACCATATAAAAATAAATAAAAGTGACCATCTATAAAACAATTAAGTATTTTTTTAAAAAGACAGCCTCCAGCACTCTTACAGCACCAGGCTGAGTACGTTAGATGCCACTGTGGCTTCTGGCCATCCACCAAGCAAATCCAAACCAATCAGTTTATCCTCCTTTGTCTGCCAGATCTAACCAGTAAGTGCTATAAGGTTATCAGCATACAGCAACTGAGCAGGGCTGTGTGCTGAATCTTGGCTGAGATGAGCCCTTTCTGGACCTTAGCTGCCCCATCTGTAACATGAACAAGTTCCTGAAACTATGAAAGAGGTCATACCCAGAAACTTGGTGGAGGTGTGCATGTGGCCCATGTGTCGCTGGTTGCTTTACCAAAGAAGCAAATGGTATCAGATCTAAGGCTGATCACAATTAGTCCAGAGCTCTTTTTTTTTTTCTTCAAATCTATTATCTATTGTCATCAAGGCTGAGTCTAGACAATTGTATTATATTGCAGCTGAGCTTGTATGGAACCAATAATTCTAACCAATTTCAGAGTCTCAAAAGGGCGTAAGAATTATATGTATTTTTAGAARCAAGGACAATGGAGAGACAATTGAGAGAATACAGAATACTCCCTTCACTACTTATCACTAAACTTGTATCATAACAATGAATAGGTAGAATTAGATAACTTCTAACCTCTCTGCTAACTCCAACACTGTAGGAATTTAGTTCTCCCCCCACRTGTGTACATCTGTAACATGAACAAGTTCCTGAAACTTTTGCCTCAAAAGCAAGTGGCTCCCGTGCTTTTGAGAAAAATTGCCTTCTCTGCCTTCATAAGTGTCCATTGGCCTACTAGCACCTTCAAAAGTCAGACCCTGTGTGCCTCCTCCAGATCCTTTTCCTGTTATTTAAAGGGAGAACTACTTGTTTCATGTATACAGGAGTGTTTTTGCTATTACTTGCCACAAAGCTTGAAATTTTAAGCCACATTCCTCCAGCAACAGTTTATTAGATTATGTTGTCTTTCCCATTCCTCCCCCAACCTCCAAGACTGGGGATTGAATGCTAGAGCACTCTACCACTGAGCTACATACATCTGCAAGCTCTTTTTAATTTTTTTTTGGGGGGGGCGGGGGTGGTGGATAAGATCTCACTAAATTGCAGGGGCTAGCCTCCCACCTCAGCATCCCAAGTTGCCAGTATTACAAGCATGCCCTGCTAGGCCCACCTAGTCTTTTATGCCATATTTTATGCCATATCAGAAAAAAATTTCATCACCAGTATACAAACTTGGTTTCATGAACAGCACATTCTAAAGCAAAAAACATTTTCCATTTACCATTGTTGAAACCATTTAGCCACTGGTATAGAGAAGAACACTATTGGGCCACAAGAGTTTATGGGCACACATAGCTACTATATTATAACACCCATTTCAGTTGCTTTCACGGCAATGAATAGATTTAGATCCTTGATCAAGTGTGCCTAGGTTAGAGTTTGCCAATATGAGAGTTATCAGCCTTCAGTATAGGACATCCATATGCCACGCTGAGGAGTAAAAAACTTGACACATATCTTAGTATATAAGGAATATTAACAGGTTGAAATCAAGATGGTGCCTGGGTTGCATTTTCATCTGGTGGATCCTGGGAAGGGTTCACTTTCATCTTCTTGGATTGTGCACAATTTTTTTCCTTCTGGTTGTCAAAGTCATAGCAATTTGCTTTGAAGCCAGCAATGAAGAGTGTTCCTACTGCTTAGCATCTCCTACTTCAGGAGCTCGCCTGATTAAACCAGGTCCGTGCAGCTTGGTCTGATTAACTCACCTGAATGATTAAGGACTCTAATTAATTAATCTGCCAAAGTTCTTCATCTTTGCCATACTGTGTTGGTTAGGAGGTCACCAGCCTTATGTGCACTTGGGGAAAGGAATTAGAGGAGCAGACATTGGGAGACAGGAAACAGGGCCATTGTAGGATGTGTCTGCCACCACATCTTGGTAATTGGTTAACTCTAACCTGCTACCACACATCCCAATCTTCATTCACCTCAGGATCGTGTATTTATTCTGCACCTCCATCCAACTCACCTATTATTATAGAAACAGTTACGATGCTCTGTAGTTCAAATATTTTACTGCTTTGTGAATCATAAATCCCACAGTCCTGGATGTTGTTGGGCAGGAGGTCAGGTTAGGACTAGAGATTAGACATATCAGCAACACCAAAGTCTCTGTGGAAATGAACTGAGGAGAAGGAGAAGTGTGAGCAGCAGAATGTTCAGCATCTGAGTGGCCAGGTTAGTGGGTGGGGAAGAGGATGTGGTCATCCAGGGGGTTTTCGTCTCCCTGGGAGATCATGCAGAGGCAGCATGCACAGATGAGTGGTCGGTAAAGTAATCCAGGCGATGGGAGTTAAGTCAGGAACATGGGTCAGAAAGCTTGAGGACATGTCTTACCAGCACATCTGGCCATCAGAAGCACCTGGGAGAGCTTTTTAAAAATACAGATGTGAACCATGAATCCCACTATTACGTATAATTTTTATTCTAATAATAATATAATAAAAATATGGAAAAAATAAAAATACTGGTGTGCGTCTCACTCTTCCCAGGACAATTGAATCAGGCTCTCCGAAAATGAGTCTGGATGCTGGTATTTTGTGCTTGCTTTAGTTCTTTTGTTTGTTTGTTTGTGTAGTTGGTTGCCTTTTTTGTTCATAAGTTCCCCGTGTGATTGCAGCTAAGGTTGGGAATTACTGGTCTAATTTTCCTATTTCACAGCTGTGACGGTGGACAAGTAACTTCACTGAGCAACTCAGATTTGTTCAGCTCTTAAATATAGAGAAT